GTTTTCCTCCCGCACAACAGTGGAAACTGCAGCTGCTATGGCCGTGCTGTGGTTCAATAAAGGACATTCAAGCTTTGCACACGTGCTAGAGGAGCTTGGTGTAGTCCCACCGGATCAACTGATTACCCTGGGCCAATCCCGCGACCAGAGGAGAATCGAAAGAATGTCTGCGTGTGAAACAGCCGAGGCAAGGGCTCATCGGCGGAACGTGGAAAAGAAAGCGCGCCTTGATGACTCCCTTCTCAAGCGGCGAGAAGGATCCACATATGGAGCAGGACAATTTTAGGTGCTCTAGCACTGTGTAATCAGAGTAACATAGTTACAACCTTCACATGCATTTTTCTCGATTTCCATTTTGAGGTAATTCTCTCATCTTGTGCACAATCTTTTTTAGGCATAAAATAGTCCTATCTTGATGAAATTTTGCACAGAGCTTAATCAGCCACTCTAGAATACAACTATCTACTTTAGGTTGCATTATACATCACAGATTTTTTGTTACACAACTTGATACACTGATAGAGAGATGTAGAATATGCATTTAGTACTTTTAATTTTTTTTAAATGTATCAAATAATATTTCTTTTTGAGGTACTTTTCTGTATTGTACTGCTCAAGTGAAGCAGAATGAGCCATTTTGCAATTCTGTGTGAAAATTTTTAGTAAGCTTTATTATATGCACAAAAAACCCTATATTTTGGTATCAAAGTTGTAGTAACTCCGGAACTACTATAGCAATCAAAAAAATTATTGCAGTTATGAAATCAGCACCACAAGCTTTACTAACACCTAAAATTTCAAGGAGCCAAAAAAAAACCTTTTTCGAGTAGCATCTCCCCTTATAACGGCTGGAAAATGAAAAGAAACGGCTCTTCCATTCGGCCAAACGCCGTAACACGCGGAGTGACTGGGATAAATACTTCGAAGTGGAAAAATCATATCTAGTTGAGATCCCGAACGCCAAGCATACCTTTTATCACGATGACTTACCAAAGCTACTAACCAGCAACCCCAGAAAATATCGGCCACTTTTAAATCCAAAGCAGACTCACGACATCACACTGACTAACGATGCGCATGAACCAGTGACAGACCATGAATGTGGGGAAATATTTAACACCGCATTCGCATCTGTCTTTACTCAAGAACTTGACGTACCTTCACAGTCACCATCAGTTAACATCGAAGCATTCATGCAAACTATCTCATTTTTCGAAGAAGGCATTGCGTCCGTAATCGATAACATGAAGCTTTCATCATCACCCGTTATAGACTCAATTAATTCTAAGCTACTGAAGAATGGTAAATCAATTTGTGCCGCCTATTTATCTTTGATTTTTCCACAGTCACTCGCCTCAGGAATCATTCCAGATGACTGGAAAATGGGGAAGGTCGTTCCAGTGTACAAATCAGGTAACAGAGACTCACCCTTGAACTACCGCCCCATTTCATTAACTAGTGTACCCTGTAAAATCATGGAACACATCATTTACTCTCAAATCGCAAGTTTCTTGAACTCGTAATTTTTTACATCGATCACAACACGGATTTCGTAAAGGTCACTCCTGCGAAACACAATTAGCGCTCTTTCTTCACGACTTGCACACTAACCTAGACCGTAACATGCAGACTGATGTAATTTTTCTAGACTATGTGAAAACGTTCGATAAAGTTCCTCACCGCCGCCTTTTGCTAAAACTTTCACACCTGCACCTGGACCCTAACATTCTTCGTTGGATTGAACAGTTTCTCACCAACCGTTCTCAGTCAGTCTTTGTTAATGGCCACCTATCTAACTCTCTCCCAGTCACGTCAGGCGTTCCCCAAGGATCTGTCCTCGGTCCCCTTCTTTTCCTAATATATATTAACGACTTGCCCGACCATGTATCCTGCAGCATCCGCATGTTCACGGACGACTGTGCCATCTATCACACTATCAGTAACCAGCATGATCACCTTTATCTCCAAACCAACCTTAACAACGTGCTTAATTGGTGTAACACATGGTTAATGACCCTTAATCCTTCTGAATGTAAACTCGTGTCTTTTTCTCGTCGCCATAGCCCATATCGCTTCCACTATTCCATCGTTAACACCGCAATTGAATCAGTACCGTCTTATAAATATCTTGGAATAACCTTGTCTTATGATTTATCATGGCATACACACATTGCTAATGTAGTTTCAGCATCTAATAAAGCACTTGGTTTTCTCAAACGCCATCTCCGCCTAGCCCCCCTACATGTAAAATTACTAGCGTACAAATTTTTAATCAAACCGAAATTAGAATATGCATCTGCCATATGGAGCCCACATCAAGCGTATTTAATCAAAGAATTAGAAGCGGTACAAAACTGTGCTGCCAGATTCATTCAATCATCTTACTCATACGATATCAGTATTTCATCTTTGAAAGCGAAATCTGGACTGCCACTCCTTTCTTTGCGCCGCCGCACTGCAACTCTCGTGCTTTATCACAAATTATTTTATTCTTCCCTCAATCAGCCACCTTATATAGTAGCCGCAGCACGCATATCTCATCGAACCAGTCATCCATTTCAGGTTTCCCGCCCATCTTTGCGCACCACTGCTTTTTCTGCCTCGTTCTTTTTTCGAGCAGCCACGGACTGGAACGGCCTCCCTCGGGACATCGCCAACATCGCCTCATCATCTGCCTTTCAAGACCGTATCATTGATCATCTTCAATGCTAAAACAACTCTCACTGCTTATTGTTAACCTAAATAAATCCCCACCCCTTATGTAATGCCCCTCCTAGAAAGGGGGGCCTTTAAGGTAATAAACTGAACTGAACTGAACAACAACCGAGGTGTACGACGCACGCCCGAGACAGACTACAGAGAAGGCTGGGCGAAGCTACGACGCACCCGTGTGCTGGTCATGTCATCTGTTGTCTAACAGCGACAACTACGCAGGATTTGGAAAGGCTCCGAGATTGGCGCTTAAAAAAAAAAAAAAAGAAATCTTGGAGGTTACGTAGGACGGAGAGCAGGTAGCCGGCGAGAGAGAAAGATTGTGGGGGGAAAGAGTGGTGAAGAGTCAGTGGCGCTATTTTCTGCACTCTGGCCTCCGTGCCAGTTTCTCCGTTTTTTCTCCGCTCCTTGTCCACGCTGCCTCCTACCTCGGCAGCCGCCCTATCCAGTGACTAGCCAAGTCGCCGCGCGGTGGCGCGTAGTTCGAATGATTCGCGGCAGAACCCACTCTCGTTCGAATTAATGGGCTTTTTTATTCATAGGCTTGTATGGAGCTTGGCCGGACCATAACTTACAGTTCGAATTATCTATAAGTTCGAATTAACGAGCTTCACTGTATCGGTACTTGGGCAAAATATGCCTGTTCGATCTGGTCTCCCCATCAAAAATACTTCATTGACACATTGGAAGAAATTTAGAATAGGGCAAGCTGCTTCATCGCCAATAACTAGGGTCCCCATTCCAGTATATTGTATGTAAAACGGAAACTTTCACTTCCACTCTTGAACATCAGTCGAGATATTGCCTTGAGTTCATTCTTTCATAAAATCACCCACTCCTCCTGATTCACCATTACTGGTCTGCACACACCATATCTCATCTCACGTAGATTACACAATCATCTCAGCAATTCCTGTATGTACAGCTCTACAAACACGTTCAACAAGTCGGCACTCCCACTTGCCATTATTCTCTGGAATAGTTTGCCTGATTACATTGCTGCCGAGGCAAACCATGAAACATTCCGTTATATGTTATCGAGCCACTTCACCAGCTTCACCGAGTAGGTCCCTTTCCGTAGCACAAGGATGAATTTTGGAAACTTTTTTGCCCTACATCATCATCAAAGCAAATTTCTCGTATGCTATGTCAGATGAGGTAGTTCTGACTGGCAGTTATCCCGCCTATCGCCTTTTTTTTGTTCGCGCAGTACATTCATTTCACTGTATTGTCGCTATGAAGTGTATTGTTTTTTTTTATCTTCATCGCGCAGTTTGTATTTTGTAAAACATGAACTCGTTTTAAGATTGTTGCAGCTGTGACATGTAACCGTTCCATTCTTGTGCTCAATAAACACACACTTTCGCTTAGTGTTTGCATGCGTGCATCGTCTTTACATGTATATATTGATTTACAATGCTTTCTGTTTATTATATTGCGATTGTATCTTTTCTTGTGTATTTCTGCTAACTCCATATGTATATGTACATGTATCTAGTGTATCGCACCCCTTACTCAACGCCCCCACCCCTGGGACCTGTAAGGTACCTCGAAAGAAATGAAATAAATATGCCACAACTGTCGAACATATTTTCAGGCAGGTTAGTGGTAGACCGATAACGATGAACACGTTGAACACGATGAATGCTAAAGTGACATAACGTGGTGGCAAGCCAGCTTACATAGAAACTGAGCCAATCGTTCGACCACAAATAAAAAGCAAGTGCTCTTACCCATCGTTGACACGGTTAGAACAGTCAATATCATCGATAGGAAAAAAAAAATGTTGCAGAAGTAGCCTCGGCTTGCAAATCTTCATTAAACACGTACCAGCCACATGTCCCTAGGGATGTGTAGCTTGTGATGTATTATAGTGAATATAACCTGTGGGCACTCTTCATCGTGGCTGGGGGGAGAGTGTCGACACCAAAACTATTCTCACATCATGCAGAACATTCAACTTTTATCCACTTGTAGCAGCCAGCCAGCAGGCTGGTCAAATGTTGTTAACTAGAGAAAATAATAAAGATATCAGCCCTGCAAGCCTAGGTCAGTGTTTCCCTGATGCGTTATAAACAAGCTGAGTGCATGTGCAGTTTGTGTTACCATTTCGTGTTTGTGAAAATATGGGAGATGTCATGCATATCTCATTGTAAGTAAACTTAGACAATTTTTTTAGAAAACATTAGGTAGTAAAGTGCTGTGTGGAAGTGAGTGGGAATTACGGTATCATTAGTGACCAACTAGCCCAACAAGTTTTAATTGGCCCTGTGAAACCTTCATTACAGAAGCAGGAAATTCTGCAGCGACTGCTCGGAGACAAGCCTGTGGCAGGTGAGAATCCCTTGGGGACATTTATATTCTTGCTAAATGTTGTTCATAACTATGGGATCTAGTAAAATTGAAAACCAACTGTGAACGAAGGCTATTAAAAGCTACACAAGAACCCCTGTTAAGCGACAAGGGTGGGCTTACTTTGCCAGCAACAGATATTTCTGAACAGGGTTATGGCCAGTGCAGCATACACACTACATGTACTTGACAAGTGGATTGTAGCCAGAAAAGCAATTGCAAACACCTCTTCTCGATGCCCACATTGCCAAGAATTATACAGAGCAAATTTACACTTCATTTGTAATTGCTCAGCTTTCTCGTGAGGAAGAATACACATACAAGATGTGCCACGCGATGGTATGAGAAGCTTAGGCTCTATGCTACTACGATCTAATGCACATAAAAGCAGTTGCGACCTATGCTAGTACAAGTGGCCTGGGTTCAAGAGCCCTCTAGAAATGTTTATACCTGCTGGCTAGAGTGTAATAAACTTGTGAATAAGGTACGACTCTGTATATTTTCTGTCTCTTACAAACACTAAGTTTGAGTGAAATTTGCAGAGTTTGAGGTCGTCCAAGCTGTGTCCTGCTACATTAAAGGACCCCCCCTCCCCTATACCTTTTTTGAGCAGCAAATGCTGCTGATCGATAGCAGAAGCTCCAGAGAACACGCGGGCCAAATATTATAGCGTTGCAGGTGGCCTGGAGTTCACCATAATTGTCAAATCATATAAGAATGGTTTTCTCTTTTCAGGACAAATCACAGAAGACGCTAAAAAATCATTCATAGAAGGTCTTCATTAGCCATTGGCTGATTTGAACATGGCGTGATCGGTCGTTACAGGGATCGCCGCGGTAGTCTGCGACTTGTCCACGCTTTCGCGTGCGATCACACTGAGAAAGTTGCGTATTATAAGAAAAAAAGAAATGCTCGAGGTCACGATGCCCATGTGACTTTTTTTTTTGCCCCTGCCATCTCTCTCTGCTTAGCTGCCAGCGCTTTCTTCGGGACGAGAGAAGAGAGAACGCGATTGCAACGTGCAACACAGGTTTGTAACTCCACTCCACTTTGTAGCATCACAAATGGCCGCTTGTTTCGAGCATTCGTAGGAAACATCACAACATCTCACGCGATCATGTGATAAGAAGTTATCGTGTTGTAACATCAGGGAACACAGTGGTAGCCGAAATACCCCTCATAAAGAAACCACTGACGACACACTGGCAGTGCTCATGAGATAGAAGAATGACAAATAAATTGCATGTCATCGAAACCATTCCTCTGCATCAAAGTTGGTCATACAGAAGGTATACTTTGCAGAAGAATAGGACATAAAGATAGTACACAAGCACACCTTCTGTCTGCTGGCGACCCACTCATATATGATGTATGCAGTGCGCCACTGACTCCTTCACATCGTGCTTGAATGCACACATTTAGGCGTTGCTCTCTTGCATTCAACGGATTAAAGATCAAGTTCAAAGCTGCAAGTTTATTGTAGATTCACAATGTGAGCCGTAATGAGGCTGCAAATGGCACACAGGCACTTTTTCAGCTTGTTTATCAGGTAGCTGAGGCAGTGCCACTAGAATTTGGCGCGTCCACATCAGCTCGCGTGCCTCACCCACAAAAGGCTCGCCTTCTTTCCGCTAGCGCCAGTTGCGCATGTGCAAGCCGCCGAAGCGGGACCAACTTCGCAAAGGAGTCCTGTACTCTTCCCTACTTCTGGCTTCACAAAATGTGACTTAACAGTACAGTGTACTAGAATATACTGGGTAATTGGTTCAGGGAGTGATTGCGAGAGACACTTGTCACATTGACGGCACAAGATGGGGCCATTAGAGCATGGGCTGTATGGGACTGGTGGCACGCACTGCAACGCAGCATGGAATCGTCGCTCACTATTTCAATTAGTATAGACCGCTTATAACTTAAGTCGCGGGAGTTGGGAATATCCTCATTATAAGCGGTACCGCACTATAACCAAAACAACCTTTTTCAAGGGCCGCACTTGCGCAAAACGTGTTGAGCATGCAGCTTCGGGTGTTGCGTGTCTGAGAATCGAAACATGCGATGTGTGCTTGGTAACATATAAATTTCTGAATGTTAAAAGAATTCAACGTCTAAGGACATGCGTTGCCAATGAAGTGAACACGAAAGGGGGAGGGCGGGTGTCTCATAAGCAAAAGCACCTTCACGGAAATCGCAGACTACCAGACCGCCTCGATTATGCACATTACACAGACGCTATGTCGAATCGCGGCCAGAATTTGATGCCTTGAAAGACGCCAACCATTTTATTTCACGGGCGCGCACCCAACTTAAGTCATCGCAATCGCATCGCGAGCCACTGTTTGAGCACTACATGTGCCGTCCTCGTTTTCATTAACGATATGTACTTTTCCCGTCAAGTGCAGCCACCTCAAAGAGTTTCGTTGATTTGGTACCTAACCGCAACTAGATTCACGCGGCCGCTACCGGTCGAAGCGCTACCGATGCTGATTAGGCCTAGCTTGCCATGTGGTATGTTGTCGTGGAAAGTTTGTTCAAGACATGAAGATTCGGGGTGAGATAGATTGCACTAGCAGTGAGCGTGATACGAAGTTCGCGTTCGCGGCCGGGAGATCAGCAACAATAACAATTGTCCAAGCTTACAAACGACAGCGCACTGGCAGGAAAAGGGAAAGCTCGCGACATAAAACTGTAACCGGTTTTCCATTTACAGATGAGAAGATTTGTGTGCACGTTAAAGACCCCAGGTGGTCTAAATTTTCGGAGCGGTTATTCTGCTGAACAGCTGATCGCGGACCATGGAATTGGCAAAGGCGCTGAAGTTGCATTCGTTCGCCATGGCCTGTAAAGCAAAAACGTAGTCAGTAATTGATTCCCCCGGAATTTGCTTGCACATGTTGAAGTAGTGACGCTCTAGGACTTCATTGCTTGGAGCATGGTAATGGTTCTCTAGTAGAGTGAGTGCTGTGATGTATTCATCCGTCGCACCGAGTCCTATTTTCGCTTTCCGCCTGGTCCTGTGCATTTCGTAGTGTCCAGTAGACATCAAGGCTCTCAACTTCGAGTGCGTTAAGTAGTAGACTCTTCTTGAGAGCTGGCCGTAGACATCAAGGCTGTCAACTCCGAGTGCGTTAAGTAGTAGACTCTTCTTGAGAGCTGGCCGGAGGGTGTCTCCAGCGGCGACGTTGACGTATGCCCAAAAGACATGGCGCCATTTAGCCTGAGGCTCGGGAGGAGTGCCTGGAGTTTGCAAGAGTGGTGGAGAAGCAATCGCGCAGGTCATGCTGGAACGTTGAGGCACTGACGAGTCGTAGTCACCAGTTGGCGAGTCACTGGTGCCAGTAAGCATTGGCCAAACGTGCACCTGTGGCCGCAACAGGCCTAGCGAATTTCATGCAGCGTGCAAGTTGGGTGGTGCCCTGTAAATGCGCCCAAAAAGGTGGCAATTTGTGTAGAAAATCGGCGGAGAAGGCTGATGAAGTTCGTAAGATGCTTACTTCTTGTTCATCGCGTCGCCAGTTTGTGTCGTCGCCGGATGCACCGTCTGATGGAGACAATGGGCTCATTAGCGCCGGAGCGCTGTAAGGAGCGTCACGCTGAGCCGAGAACGGAGAGGGGACTCTTTATTCAGAGAGAGGGCGTCAGCGCGTAGCAATGGCTACACAATAATAGCTGTTGTGCGGCGCTATGCGACACATCCCGCGAAACCGAAGCTAATGAGAGGTCCATGACTACGAGATTAGTATTTTTGAATTTGAGGCATGAAATGCCCGTCACCACACTCAATAAGGTTGCAAACAGGCACGGCATGTCTATTGTTTTTTTTTTCAGCGCTACGAAAGCTATCTCAGGTTTGCCAACGTATACTAAATATTGGAACAAAAAAAAGTGGCTGTGGCAAGAAGCACACAAACTCGTACACAAATTGTGCCACCGGTGTTGTCTATGAATTTCCACTATCCTTCAGCAAGATATATGTTGGCCAGATAGAAAGGTGCGTGAATGAGCATGCGCGGGAACACGAGCTGTCACTAAAAGGTAAAGATAAGGCTAATTTACCGGCCCACTGCGATTCACACAAGTGTGAGCCATATCTGAATAAAATTCAGATTCTGGGGAAAAGCTGGGGCACCACTGCTTGAGAACTGCTGGAAGTTCTGCACATGAAATCACGAGGTTGATTTGCATTAGTGACACTGTTCTTTTCGCAGGCAGAGAGCTCATTCTTGAATCGCAGGTTTTAATTAAGATGTTATCCGACCAATGTTGGCCTTTCCTTTTTTGAGTGTCAGCACCTATGTCAAGGTAAACTGGTGCGCGCAACAAGCATCTGTCTTTTTTGGTCTTTCCGGTGTCCATCTCTTTATTTGCGCACACCAGTGTATCTTGATATAGGAACGAACTGGCCCAGCTGCAAGTTTTACTGAACCACATTTCTACCTATGCCTTTGCTTTTCGTGCATGCCTTTGCATATATTGAAATACAACGGTTCAGCTGACGCTTTATTCAAGCAACAGCAAGATGGCGCCGCTGAAGAAGAGGAACGGGCGAAGACTGATGATGGTTATAGACAGATGAGGAAGATGACGGCCAATGAATTCTTACACTAATTTCCCCTGTCGACGGAAGCGGCCAGCCTGGCCGCGAATTATGCTGGGGAACGCATACGATAGGGCTTGAGACGCGAAACGTGCACAATCTCTGTCCCGCTGCAGCGTTGGTCAGTGGGAACATGAACAAGTGTGACAAGGTAGTTCACCGGTGAGGTCTGTTCGACAACTTTGTAGGGGCCAAGATAGCGTGACTCAAGCTTCTCGCATAAGCCAGGCGTTCGCGCAGGAGTCCACCGAAGTACATCGTTGCCAGGACGTTAGAGAACGACGCGGTGAGTGGCATCGTAACGATGTTTGCGATCTTCTTGGCTAGCTTCGGTGTTTACACGGGCAAGACGACGGCATCGAGCAACACGGGACAGAAACTGGTCGCAAACGAATGGTGAAGAGTTGACGGGGCCAGAAAAGAATGAAACGTCGAGTGGTGATGTTATTTGGCGTCCGTATACTAAAAAAAATGGAGAATAGCCTGTGGTTCGTTGAACTGACATATTATATGCATACGTGACAAAGGGAAGTATGGCATCCCAATTGCGATGGTCCGGTCGGATATACATGGACAGCATGTCACACAGCGTGCGATGAAATCTTTCCATTAAACCATTGGTTTGCGGGTGATAGCTAGATGTTGTTTTATGAACTGTTTTTGATGCTTGAAGAACTTTACTGAGCGGGCTTGAAAGAAATGCCTTGCCGCGGTCGCTCAAAAGAACACGAGGGGCTCCGTGACGTAGGTAAAAAGCATTCAAGAAGAAAGTTGCTACTTCCGAAGCAGTTCCTGAAGTGATCGAGGCCATCTCAGCGTACCACCACCCTTCGACGGTTTCCGACGTCGTCTCTGTATGCCAGCGTCTTGATACCTGACGGTTAATCCGCCTGCAACCCGACTTCTCTGAGAACCCCCTGGCAAACAGCATGGAGCTCCGATCCATCATTGGAGCCATAATTCGTGAGAAATTGCAAGCCCACCGTTTAACTCCTTCTAACAATGTTCCCGCTCAACCCGCCTCTAGCGATCTGCATGGCATTATTAGGGAAGAAATGTCAGCGTTTCAAAGCACCCATTGTGCTCCACCATGCCCCCAACCCGCTTCGTATGCACAGATCGCTTCAATGCAACCCTCGCCGTCTCAAGTACCACCACCTGTGCCTGATCATGAACATCTCGCACCTCTAGTCGCCCGTCCACCGAACCCAACCTACCATTCTTCCTGGCGGGCCCCACGGCCTATTTGCTACTACTGTGGAATTTGAGGACACATTTCCCGGGTCTGTCGACGTCGGCAGCAAGATGAACGTCGTGGTTATGCCGCTTTTGAAGGAGATGACACATGTGCTCGAGGCTACTACCGTTATGCCGACAGTCGTTCCAACCACCGATCACCGTCTCCTGTGCGCATTTCCAACACGACCAACAATACACGTGCATCCCGACCTCGCTCCCCTTCGCCACTCCGACGCTCTGTTTCACCACTTCGGCCTGTCTCTCAACTGGCTGCCAAGCGATCGGAAAACTAAACAGTGCAGTTTTTGGAGGGAAAACTGCATCGCGGCAAATTGACCCAAGTCCTCCTAAACGACCGTCAAACATGTTATTGGTAACTGTGCAAGGTGTGCGGGTGTTGGCTTTGGTGGACTTGGGAGCAACTATTTCAGTTATGCGTGCCGACTTGTGTTCTCGATTGTAGAAAGTGAAGACACCCTACCTTGGATCACTTTTGATTGGGGCCAATGGAGCAATAATTAGATCATCGGCCCAATGTACAGCGCGTGTCTTCATTGATGGTATTCGTCATCACATCATCTTCGCTGTGTTAATTTCATGTGCTCATGAACTAATTGTAGGTTGGAACTTTCTCTCATCAGCATCTGCATTAATTTCTTGCCATCAACGTGTAGTCGAAATGACCGAGACCGATCACTGCAGCGAACGCGTCGACGAAAAACCATTGCGTTTCTTCACAGCTTCCGAATCCATACAGCTCCCGAAACTGGAGCAACTCATCACTATCACTTCTCTGAATATTGCCAATGGTGACGTCCTTATCACCCCTTCCAGCAGCTGTCTAGCTCGCGGCGTTGTAGTCCCCTTCAGCCTGGTGCGGTTCAAAGACAGTGCTGCGATAATCCTTGGCCTGAACCCTACCCCAGAGCCTGTCCTCCTACCCCAAGGTTCTGCAGTGTCATGTTATATGGATACCCAACCGGTATCTTTGGTCTCTCTTGACGCCTTGACAGCTCAGCGACAACAGGCCCAGTCTGTTACTTCCTCCTCCTTTGCTCCCGGGATAAATCCTGACCTTTCTGCTTCTCAACGTGAGGCGTTCCTAAATTAGCTAACGAAACACCAGGCCTCCTTCGACGCCAATGCTTCGGCACTAGGACAGACCACAGTTGCGCATCATCGCATCGGCACTGACGGTCAGACAGTTGTACGGCGGCGTCCCTACCGAGTCTCCTTGGCCGAGCGCAAAATCATCGAGGAGAACGTGACCAATATGCTAAAAAGAAACATCATACGACCCTCTACCAGTTCTTGGTCATCACCCGTTGTGTTGGTACGAAAGATTGATGGATCGCTACGATTTTCTGTTCATTACCGCGCGCTCAACAAGATTACCCGAAAGGATGTATATCCGATGCCCCATATAGATGATGCACTTGACTCATTTCAAGGCGCCCTATACTTCTCCACCCTTGATCTTCGGTCCCGGTATCGGCAAATACGAATGGACGAAGCAGACAAAGAAAAGACCGCCTTTTCTATGCCAAACGGTCTTTACGAGTTTAACGTAACGCCATTCGGCCTATGTAATGCTCCCGCCACATTTGAAAGGATGATCGATGCTGTTCTTCGTGGCCTCAAGTGGAAAACTTGTCTATGCTACCTCGATGATATCGTCGTGTTTTCTTCCACTTTTGCTGATCATCTGCAACGCCTAGATCAAGTGCTCACATGTCTCTCCAATGCTGGACTTCAACTAAACACAAAGAAGTGCCATTTTGGCAACACAGCTATAAAAGTTCTTGGACATCTCGTTAGTAAAGATGGCATCCAGCCCAATCCGGACAAAATTTGCGCAGTCCTCAACTTTCCGCGATCATTTAGCTCCAAAGAACTACGCAGTTTCCTTGGACTCGCATCGTACTTTCGCCGCTTCATTCGCAACTTTGCCACTATTGCCGCTCATCTACACAAGCTCCTTGGCAGTACCGGTTCCTTCGATTGGAATGATAAATGCGCAGCCTCATTTCAAAAACTCAAGTAGGTACTGACATCCTCACCGGTGCTTTGTTATTTCGATGGCAGGGCACCTACGATATTACACACTGACGCTAGTGGACAAGGAATCGGTGCCGTACTCCTCCAGCGCGACTATGCCTTTCGCAAGAAAGTTGTCGCGTATGCAAGCCGCACTCTGACCTCTGCAGAGAAGAGAAACGGGCGAAGACTGATGATGGTTATAGACAGATGAGGAAGATGACGGCCAATGAATTCTTACAATATATTGTGCTGCAGTAATGTTGGAATAAATGGCAGAAAATTTGCCCTCCCCTTGAACCTTTCCCACGTTATTTCTTTGCTCGAAATACCCACATCTGTGGCTTCTAATTGCCCATCTCTACTGCTGCCCCGCACCGTGCATACCAGGTTTGCTTACAGCCCACGCTATCGCAGCGCCACCATGCACCTGCAGAACCTGTCTACACTCGCCGCTTCAAGTGACCACATGGAGCGTGCCCTTGTTTGAAGCCACTACCTAGTACATTCTAGTACAGTGAAACTTTGATTGCACGTCCCCAGGTTTCATGACGAACCCCGTTTTATGACAAATCAGTTTGGTCCTGGCGAAATCACTAAAGAAGCAATGTATTGAAACCCTTGGTTATACAACGCAATTATACGCCGACCCAGTATATAACGACCACTTTCAAATTCAGCCAGAAAGAAACAACCACCTTTACTGGAATCAATCGTTATCGAAATATTTATGAGTGCAAAATATTGATACGTCATCATTAACACCAATGAATGCACCATAAAGGCGACGAAGATGACGATTGAACAAAAGCTCGTGTTGTTGTTGCCACTCCGCCATCTTGGTTCAAGGACACTGTGTACTCAGTGTACGATCTGTAAGTATATTTCTGCCCTCTGTCTACTCTCACCCCGTGACAATATAAACAGGTTTCCCCCTAGGTTGACCATTAGAAAGGTAGATAGACGGGATGTCTTCGTCCAAGGAAAAATTAATTTTCTTAGAAATTCATGCGCTTCAACATACGCCTTCATTGCGTACGGACGTGTCCGGGGTCATTACCTGGTTAAGCTCTATCCACACAGAGTAACTTCAGCCGGCCGCAAAGCTGATATTTTAACGTTTTCGGTAAGTGGAAACTTTTGACACACACTCGCAGTCACAGGCTTGCGCACGCGTAAGGGCGTGACTCAGCTGTTGGTACCGTGCAAAATTACTTTCACTTGACGTCAATGTTCATTATAACAGTGGGATGTCACTAGTTCCACTTCACAAGCTAACAAATTACAACGCGCACAGCTCAGTCGTGCACGAAGACATTGTGTGCAAACTCTGTGTCTGTTGCCATTATGTGATAGCAATGACACTGTGTCTGACTCTGCTGACAGGAGGCTGTTGGCAATGCGGTTTGGGTTTCGTTTTGATGCGCAGGCAATTTTCGAACTCTATGTATCAGTAGAAAGATGTGCATTGGGTTGGATTTCTTTAGAGGCAAGAATAAAGACTCGCTTGCACCTTCTTCAACTAAGTAATACTGCCTTTAGCTGCTGCTGGCAAGAATAATTTAATCCGCCTTTTTTGCTGAGGTCGTGTCTTGGGTTTATTCAGGCAGTGTGCACCAGTTTTTTTGGCAAGGCTGAGTGCCACTGCCTATACTCTTAGTTTCTTGATTATCTCCTGAAAGTCACATAATCGGGGTAGCAGTGTCCTCTCCTCAGTATTCCTTTCTCACTTCTTGAGGCATGCCAACCTTGTTCGAATGAATACACAACAGGAAAGGAAGAATAGCGAGAAGACCTCTCAGCTCTGAACTTCTTTCAGGCTTGTTGCATCCGCTTGTATTATGAAAGCATTTGGGTTAACTACAAATGTTTTGTTGCAGGCAGCTCGGCTGATGTGGAGGGGGAGGAGCAGGTCGTGACATATGACATGCCTGATCATACGGTTACTGTGACCAGCCTTGAGAGTTGTGACCTCTACGGAGACGTTCACGTTGGCAACAACCAGGCAGCCGATGAGGAAGATGGCATTACCCAAGAGATTGAGGAGAGCCGTGCCGTAGACAGCGATAAGCAGAGGTCAGTGTGCTGGGCAGCAATCTGTGGGCTGTAGTGACTTTTATTGCCATCTTTATTGTTTCCGCTGGAATTGTGAGATAGGGGGGGGGGGGGCGTTATTTCAACACCAATAATACTGTTATGCTGAAATGTAGACTTGCTGAACAAGCAAAAAGAAAGAAGGGAGCCCTTTCTCTTTAACATGGATGACTGGTTTGGCATTTCTTTGAATTAAGGTATCCCCTCTACCTAGAAAAAGATCCTTTTCTAAAGCTTGTGAGGGGAACATTCATGCATATGTCCACCTAATAGAAAAGCTGAAAGTGCCCGAAGATAGTGACACGTAAAGCATGCTTCATATCCATATTAGAATGATTTCAGTATGAACAGGCTAGCATGAAAAAAGTTTTGCTGTCGTGCTAGATATTGATTCTACTCAGATAGCTAATGTCAAGTTTTCATTCAAAATACCCTTAGAAACCATCAACAGGATGGAGTGTTATGGAGAGTCACAAAACACCTCTGTAGGGCCACTTATCTTTTGTTTGAAACAAAGGGAAATCGTGCTCTAGTGTAACAGGAAATCGAGGAACAATATGTAATGCACCAATCGCATGTAAATGCTAAAGACAATGATAAGGAGCCCTAAGAGCTGTGACAAAATGAAAATTCGGTATTGTAAATTACGTTCTCAAATGATTAGAAGGATGTGTCTATCTGGGCTAAATACCGTAATTACTCGAATCTAACGCGCACCTTTTTCCGGTTAAGCAAGTTCATAAATCGCATGGGCGTTAGAATTGAGTACGAAAAAAAACTGAATTCGGTCATTCCATTGCCACCGGCATTTTCGAAATGGCCGTTTCTGCCTACGTGTTTCCCATGTGCGGCACTTCGTACGTATGCTGAGGAGTTCGTCATCTTCTAGTGCATTAGCATCGATGGCATGGAAGGGCCAACTCCGAAAATGCGAGTGCACCACCATGCCGCTTTTAAAAGAAATGTCATCGCGTGTGCAGAAACGGACGGAAATCGGGCCGCATTGCGGTCGTTCAGAGTTCCGGAAACGTGCGTGCGGGACTGGCGGAAACAAAAGCAGAAGATTGTGTAGGTGTTCTGTAAGATTGTCGACAGCAAAATTTCACGCAAAGGCTTCAGTGGACCACAGCAGGGTCGGTTTCCGCAAATGGAAGAGCTGCTCGGCGAGTATGTGCTTGAGCAGCGAGCGGCTCGTGACGACAGAACTGCTCCAAGTGCGGGCTATGCAGTTAGCATTAAAAAAAGGCTAATGCGGAGCCAGTTGAAAGCGAGCAGGTGCTGGCTAACTAACTTTATGAAGAGGAAACGCTTTTCCCTCCGAAAGAAAACGGGCATATACGAAAAGTTTCTGGAGGAGTACGATGAAAAGCTTCACAGTTTTCAGAGGTTCGTCCTGAACTTGCGGCACAACAACGGCTACCTGTTTGGGCAAATCGGGAATGCCGATCAGACGCCTCTTTACTTCGACATGCCTGGCACCACAACCGTCGAGAAGAAGGGGGCGAAGCAAGTTCGCGTGCTGAGATCGATTCACGGTAAAACTACAGTGACTGATGGCAATGCTCTGTTACACGTCAGATGGGCACAAGCTTCCGCCGTACTCCATATTTAAATAGAAGACGCTCCCGAAAGGAGTCCTTTTTTCGAGTGGTGTGATCGTGCGGGCCAACGAGAAAAATGGGTGCACGTTGCAATCAATGTCTTATTTTTCTTTTTTTTGTCATGGAAACCGGGTGCGTGTTGCAATCGAGGGCGTGGTAGAATCGAGTAAATACGGTATTAGTACAAGAGCCTGCTCATGGGATGGGATATTCCACATTTGGCAATGAAAAGGTAGAACCATTGTATATTAGCACTTTTGAATACTTGCGACTTCACTGAGCGCTCGCCATCTAGCGGCTGCTCCTGGAAACAGCGCTAACAGGGTCAATCTTGAAAGGAGATATGTTACCACGTTGTGTGCTTTGAGAACTGGCTGCCTAGTTCCTTCATTTTTGCCGTGCCGCGCGCGGCATAGCTGTGGAAAGATGGCAACGTATCATTTTATGATTTCCCGAAGGATGCAGGTGATGCGCGACAGAGAACGGCACAAATCAGAAACATACGCATTGAAGAGAAAGTGACGGACACTACGGTATTTTGTTCTAATCCACTAATTCACTCGTCACAATATAATTCTCTTCGGTGAGTTCACCATTATTTAGCAAATGTGCATTTTTATAAATATTCGGGCTTCTCTAAGCGCGGAGTATAGTTTCATTTATATAAGCAAGCGCTTTAGAAAATTTGCTGCGTTAGGTTTGTGACTATTTTTCACATATGCTTGTGTTCTGCGCAACTCGTAGTGCTACTCATTCACAAATTAAGCTGCTCTAATCTTTCCCCCTGAACATTTCTTGATTTCGAATGTGGTTATATACACGCGCAGAAGCGGATGTATACAGTATAACTTCGTCACAACAGATCTTCATAGTGAAGAGGATATTGGTCTGTTGTAAAGGGAGTATAATAAATTCCTGTACTGTTACAACACTTTTATGTGAATGCATAAAAAGCATGTTATATTGAGAGAGAATTGCAAGTCACAAACACAACACGATTGACTAACAGATTTTTTCTTAGATCTTTTGAAAAATGCTAGTCCGCTTCATCCAGACTGTGTGGTGGACAGCTTTAAACACTATACGTGCCTCCATTGTCACAAGTGTGTTCACATCATCTGGACCTGTGACCTGTTGCTAGAAATAGTTTTTCAGCCCTTGAACACAGTCGAGGGCCTGAGAAGTTGACACTTTCTCAGTTACAGTCTCTGAGGTGCCGTCTTCATTTTTGTCTTCATCCTGCTGCTCTGTATTTGGCACACTGTGAAATTGGGCAACAATTTCTTCATCTGTCAGCAGCTCTGAGCTAACAAGGTCATCATCCACAGTTATGTAATCAGAAAACTGCTGGCTCCCGAAGGCCTCCTCAACAGCAGACAGTGGGATCTGGTTGGCCTTCCAGTGGCAAGGGGTCTGTGCAGTCACTGTCACCAATAAAAAAACCAGCATTTCTAAAGCAATTCTTTATTATTGCTGGCTGAATCTGTGCCCACACAGTTTAAAGTACATGCACAGTGAATCTGAGGTCTATGACTGAGTCGCTTTTGCTGTATGTCAAAAAGTAAACGCTCAGCAAGGCGTGAGCGATACCTTGACTTCGCTGGGTGCACAATGCCTTGATCAATAGGCTGCGCCTTTGACATTGTGTTAGGTGGAAAGTATGAGACTTTTGTAGCTTGAATGTTAAAGTGGAGCAACCATCGGTTGAAAGTATCCTTGGTCATCCAGGCACTTTTGTTCGAATCCCACTCCACGGGAACGTGTTTGTTGCACATACACCATGGTCTTTTCGGCTTGTCTATAATTAAGTGTTTGGTTTTCTCGCTCTCGTTTATTATACATCGAAAGAGAACGCTAACATGCGCCTTGCACGTGCTGCCTTGTCACGCCTTTTTGGCAAAAAAGTCTTTCCTGGCTTCAACTTATGAAAAAAGAAACGCTCGCATCAGCATTTAACACATCCCACGGTGCATAGCCTTCGAGGTGAACAGGAAGAACATCAGCTTTTCAGTCTGCAACTACTGTGTCGTCAATGCTGGCCAACTCCCCTGATAGACACTTAAAGGAGATTCGATGCCTCGATTCAAAATGGCTGAGCCAACCTTCGCTGCATTGAAAATGTTTTTGCTTAGAAACAAACGTAAGTTGCTCTGCACGTTTTCGTAGTTTGTAGCAGAAGTTCTTCACGGGGATATTTCGTCAACGGGCGTGGCGAAGCCACATCAGCAGCACCTGTTCAATGTCAGAATATTAAGCTTCACAGAGCCGAAACCTCTTGGGTTGTAATCCACCTGATACTTTCTTTGACAAGATTGTTGTCTTGGTGTTGGCAATGGTGTTGACCATCTGCTTCGACAAGCCGTACGGCGCGGCAACATCCACCTGCTTTTTTCTCTTCTCAACTTGCTCAATGATATCAAGCTTGTCTTTCGGGGATATCTGCTTGCGCTTCGTTGCTTCCAGTGGCTTACGACGCGTGGCGTTGGCTGATGTGTTCGGCTGATGTGTTCGGCTCCATAGGCTCCATCACACTGGGATCACATCCATAACGAACCGATGCACCCGATACACAAAGAAACAGCCGAAGCCGAACAAAGCACCCGCTGTCAGCGCCTGCCAAAGCAACGCACGTAACTTATATTCAGCGAAGGGCCGCTACTAAGCGAGTGCTTTCTATTAACCTTTTTTTTAATTTGGCAAAAGCATGCAAATTCTAAAAAAGTATCGCTTTAATGTTTTTTTTCCTGAGTTTATAAGCAGACTGTTTTTTGCTTTGAGAACACTGTAGTCATTAAAAATCATATATCGATTGTCATACGATGCATTGGCTATTAGTCGCAGTAAGCCCTGTTAGCCATATCGATCCAAGCCAAGTACGGTTGTTTCGAAATGGCCGCCACCAGTCTTGACACTGCAGGTGGAGTGTACTAGAAGTGTTGAGTGGCGTGACCGTGCCTTGCCGCCTGATCCCTTCCGCGTTGCCCGCAGCGGCGGCGCTGCATTCGAATAGTACTGAAAGAGCCGCGCGCCAGGTGCTGGAACTGCTATGCGCTTCGGCTCCTCCGTCGCGATTTCTCGATGCAGATTTCTTCACACCTGCCAATCATTCATGTCTAGCACGTGAAGCCCTAGCCCTTGAAGTATGACACGGCCATCTACTGAATTTGAGCTCCGTAAAAGCCCTTGTGAGAGATCGAAAATAATTCAGAAAGGGTGTGTCTTATACTGATTTCTTCTCTCTTAACTCTTTTTTCGTTGGTTAGGCGTCTACAATATTTTTACGTGCGTCCCGCGAAAAAGATGAAGGCGACAGCGCATACGCGCATCTGCACACTTTTATGCAGAATGCAACAACGAGAAAGACGAGGAACTCTCTCACCT